TCATTTCAAACTACAAAAAGTTATTTCAGTATCACGTTATCTAGCATGTGTAAGATTTAACTTGCACAAAGGTAGCTGATGCAAGACATAAACTAAATGCTTCCGTAATTTGACCTGTGCTAATACCTTATTTTATAGGTCCTAGTTTCCTGTAATTTCCTAGTCAGTTAACTGATTAGTTGACTGACGAGTTTTATTTGGAAGAACTGTCATAATTGATTGTCATTTTTCAAGCAAAACTTGTGAACTAGCACCTCTGCTCTTTTTCCCTGAAGCCTTACAGGTTCCACTAAAGTTTAATAATTTCCTTTGGTGGTAGTGGAGGAACTGTTTGACCTAAAGCATCCTGTACAAGCACAACATTAACGTGAGTATTTCCTAAACTCAGCTGCCTCCCTCTAACTGGGAGATCCTGCTTCACCACTGCTGCCGAACCAGGCTGCAGAAGGGAAATGGTCCTCTGATAAGTGCCCTGATAGACAAACATAGCTGGTTCCTGTCCTGTTCCCAGGGTCCTAGCTTCCCAAAATCCAAACTCCTCCCAGCAGACAGAGAAATGAGCAGCTGTTACCTTGAAGGACCTCCATAGGCAGGACGGTCCAGGCGTTCTGCAGGTAGGAGATGTACAGGTAACGAGCTGTGTTGCAGGCCAGGCCGATGTACAGCACCCTGAGGGAGACATATTGGAAATCATCATTAAGTGCAATCATACCTACAGTATGTTTTCTATGTTTTAAAGCAGAATTCAAAAGTATAATTAGTTAAATTTGTTGTGGTGTGATGAGGTTTGTTTAGTCCATGACAGTGTAGCAGAGCCTATGGTTACAAAACCAAAATATTTTCTGTTTACAATAGCACACGACAAAGAAGAGCAACACAGATGTTGGGAACAGAATATTTTCTCTTATTATATTCTTATATATTTTTATTATACTGCTGCATTTGCTGCTTAAAGTGCCTTAGATTTTGTGTTACTTATTTATCTACTTTATATTTCATTTGTATTTTGTGGCATTCACGTGGACGGCAAAGTAAGAATTTCATTGTACAGGGAAACACGTTGCCCAACTGTGCATATGACAAATAAACACTTTGACCTTGACCTTGATTTAGCATTTTGCTTGGAAAATAAAACAATTATTAAAATACTTGCTTAAATTTCTGTCAGTGAACTCATTGATAATGACCAGTAAACACAAGTCGTGTCATTCAAAAGCAGTTCAGAAGAAAATGTCTTAAAACTACAAATCTTGCAGCCCAAAAATAAAATTCACTGTTTTCACTTTATGATATAAACGAGAGAAAAGCATTCAAATCTTAAATTATTTTCAGCACAATTGCTAAATTTGGCCTGGGACACAAATGGCTTTAATGATTAATTTTTTGAGTTCGTTTTTCGTCAGGTGACTCAGTACAAGCTGCACTCTGCAGGCCTGTTTACCCAGACACAGTTTGCTGAGCACACACAGGTAGACAGCTGATGAATTGCTGAGGAGCTCTCACTGACAACATGATGAATAATGTGCACAGCAGCTTATCTACTAATGTGAGCTTTGTAGGTAGTTTTCCTTTCTTCCTGAGACACACACTCAAAACTCTGTACATTTATTCAACCTTGTGCCTGCAGGCCCAAACGAGGAATGCCAACACATCTGACTGATACATATTGGAGGGCAGGTTTTATCACAGATGCACACATGTAGACATCGTATGAAGTACTTCACAATGAAACAACACGGTCTTATTTTCTTTATTTCTCCAGTAGAATCCATTGCTGACAACTATTGAGGTTTACTGTGCTGAAAAGGGTGATTTCAGAATCATTACAGACCTAAATACTTGTATTAGCCACAGTTTTAATATCACAGGTTACAAATATTTTCCTAGAAGCTGTGAACAAGATAAGAAAAATGTGTAACACAGGAAAAGTAAAAAGATTTTGGATGCTGAAATAAATTCTTTCCTTCAGTGGATTTACACAAGAAACCAGGTCATATAGACTCAGTGGTGACTTTGGATGAGTTTCAGTCAGACTTCAATTGGCATTATTCCAGATACAAGAATGCATTGCTTTGTATAATGCAGGGGTGCTGCACACTTTTTGAACACACGCATTAGGGCGGAGGTGCTGTCTATCAGTAGAATGGTGCCACTGTTATCATTTTGTTTGCTTCCATAACCCTGTTCCCTTCAGGGTGCAACTGTAAGAGCAGGTGGCAGGTGGAGAAATCAGGCCAAACACATACACTATAAAATATAAAGAGATAACTGGACTCCGATGACATCCCAGAACCTGTAAGTCTGTGGGTATCACTGCTAAACTTAAAGCCTATAATAATCAAAAGACATTTTCAATGCTTTTTTACTAAGTAGTCAAATTTAGGATTTTTTAAAAACTCCACAATCAGCATCACAGTAGGCAGGTTCATATATAAATGTGTTGATAAAAATGAGTGTGTGTCCATCTGGTGCTGCTGTGAATATTAGGAGTAGACCACATCCAGTCAGGTGTTATTAAAGACTATATGGTCAGTACTAGTCAAAGCTCAAATGAACAAAAGTGATGTGGAAAAACTAATGGAAATAAGACACATCTGCTTGCTTCATGTCATCTAGTGAGATGTGACGTTAGCCAGCTAACGTTAGCTTCAGACTGGGGGCTACAGTTTGTCCCAACCAGGGATCTGTAGTTCACATTGTCGCTAGGAAACAGGACGTGATGGAAGGAGGAAGGAGCGGCTAGGAGTGGTTTATGATGTCAGTTTGTTTTGAGCCTCAGTAGGCCGTCTGGGCTGGAAAAACATAGCTTCAAAGAGCAACTTGACAGTAGCTGCACTCAGGATGTTGTAAACATTTGACAGCCTGATAATGAAGCACATGTTCTTTCCACTGCTGACAGGTAGTTTAACACAAACTGACAGAGTCCCAACTATGAAAAGATAAATGACGCGCTCAGTTTCCAGTCAAACAGGAAGTGTATTTGCAGCAGCACAGTCACATCCTTAAACACAGAGACTGAACGACATGTGTACCAGAGTTTTGTCAGAACATATATAATTCCTGTTTGTGATAGACAACTCGCATGTGGCTAGACCAATCAAAAAATATATATTGGTTTAATCTAATTTACATTTAAAAAAACACACCCTGTGGGTAGATTTATAATGCATCACATTATGCTGCAACTTTTTAAGACCTTGGGAGTAGTTTCAGAGTCACCAGCAGAGACTTTGTGTGTTTTATGTGCAGCACTGATGTAGGTCCAGAGCTGCAGCCTGAAATCTAACACCACGCTCTCAAATGTCCTTGCTGCCTGCGAGGTCCGGCCATGAATTCATTCCGACAGAAACAGAGCATCAATGACAGCATTGTCTCAAAGAGGCACCTACACAGCTCACTGCTGCTACAGTGTTGTTGCACTTCATAAATGCACTATGATGAATACACACAAAATTTCATTATCAATTTAGAGGCAAACAAGGCTGCACGAAAAGAGGAAATCAGGGATGATTTACAGCACACACTGAGTATAAAAACCCTGATTATTCTGCTGAGGTGACCCACTAGTACTTCACTATCATCATTACACAACAGGTGTGTGTCTTACCTGATGTGTCCAACCAGCTCGATGAACTTGTGGCTGAGGAAGTAGGCGCTGAGCTCTGAGATGTGGCTCAGGATGGAGCAGACGCCAAACAGGGTGGTTGTCCCTTTGAGGTCCTCCAAGTGCCAGTACAGGAAGCTGAAAACAAAGCCGTAGCCGAAGCCCATGAACCAGGCGACGAACAGGACAGAGCTGTAGCGCACACTGCAGAGAAGTTTCAGGAGGTCACTGTAGTGGAACTCCTGAGCAGCATCAGGACTGGTGGGAGTCTGGTCTGCAGAGCTGGACTCTGATATTGACCTTGGACTGTCTGTCTGCTCCACCACCTGCTCTGGAAGCTCCTGCGGGTAGTTGCCACCTTTTTCAAAGTAGAACTGAGTGGCCACGATGAATGCCACAGACATCAGCACACCAAAGACAATGAAGGCAATCTGGTAGCTGTGTTGACGGTAGTCGGGCAGAATGCAGCCAGCGTCAGTGAACGTTGTTGTGTTGACGTTGCTGAAAATGTTGACGTGTGTGTGGTCGATCCAGATGCCCACCAGCAGCATGGCCAGACCCCAGCCCAGAGAGCCCCACATCCTCTGCAGGCCGTAGCGGTCACGGGCTTTACCGAGGTACTGCAGGGTGATGGTGTCCACGATGGTGATGGCAGGAGCGCTGAAGAACTCGCCCACGATGATAACAAGCAGGATGAGCAGGAAGATGGTCTCCACCTGGTTCTCATTGTAGATAAGCTGGTGTTGCTTGACTGTGGGTGAAGTCAAGGCAATGGCGGTGGTAGTGGGTAGAGTGGTGTTTGGCATGAGCTGGGTGGTGACATCTGGCGTGAAGGCGGCTGAAGTTGTGTTGGCATCAGCACTTCGTGCGTGTCTGTAAAACATGCTGGAGTCATAAAGGTCATGAAGCCCAAAAACGTCCAGAAGGCTCCGGCGACTCCTGGTGTGGTTGGTGGAGCTGCTTGGATGTGTGAAGTTACCATCAGAGATATTCGTCATCACAGGTGTCGTCGGTGTCACAGCTCCTATTTCCTCACATTTAATCTCAGCTGGTTTGACAAAGCCGATACCACAGTTAAATCCCAGCCAGCAAAGAACAGAAAACAGCAGGACGGCCTTTCCAATCTTGAAGCGGTCTGCCACCACACCCCAGAAGGGGGCGCTGCAGAACTCAATGAAGTAGCGGATGCCGACGAGCAGCCCGCTGCGACTGGCCGACATGCCCAGCTGCTTGTAGTACACGGCTAGCAGAGGGTGCAGCGAGCCGTAGGCAGCGTAGAAGAAGAAGTAGAACACTTTGGAGATGAGGAGGTGGCTGTTGATGTGGAGGCACATCCTCTCGCAGCAGTCTGTGGAGTCGGGTTGGAAGGTCGGAGGCTGTTCAGGTGGCGGGTCTAAGGTGGGTGCAGGTGTGGCACCCGCCTGTTGATCCACAGACAGGGTGTTGAATGGCTCGGCCAACACATACCTCCTCTTCTGCTCCTCCTCGTCTTCTGTTAGAATGGCAACCTTGTCGTCAGCTGCCATATCTGGAGGATAAGGAAATGATGGTGAGAACAGCTGCAAGGAGTGGTAGCACAAAAGAAGCTGAAATCATCCCTCAGCTGGCAGGTTTGACCGCTCTACCAACCGAAATTATGTCTGGAAAGAAACCAGTCCACTGCCAGCACCTGATTAAATCTGTACTTTAAAAACATGTGATTCTCTCCATGACAACACAGCTGCCTTAAAATGGTTCCCACATATACAATACATTAACAAAACTCTGGAGTGTGAAAGGAGAAAAAGCTGTGAAATTTATAAACCCAAATAAAGAACCTGTTTTAACAAGTTACATATTTTTGATCTAGACCTGATCTAGTATGGTCTGGAAGAAGAAAAGGTTGTTATATAGCTGTTTAACTTTTGTTTAAATAGAATAAAAACTATTATCTAAGAGTTTTGAAGGTCTCTAAGCCCCACTTTGGGATCCGGTTCTATATCATAAGAGCATTAAATCTCTTCATCAGTACAGCAGTGATTAATACAGTCTCTCACTGTAACTGCAAACATCAGCACTCCTCCCAGACCCGCAGGAGGTCCACGAACCCCAGTTTGGAAACAGTCTATCAGTCACCAACGGTTCGACGCGGAAGTATGTGATACCTTGAGCAAAGCTACTGTTTATTTTGAACGAAACTGAGCCAAACTCGATACATTAAAAAAAAAAAATTGAAAACTGGCTAAAATGTTGGTGCTAATTTAACAACGAATTAAACCGGTTAAACTAGCAGGAAATGACTGTTACCGCTTGCTTGATTTAGCCCTCTTTAACCTCAAATAAACTCTTTAATTATGTTTTAAAGACATTAGACATAAGTAAAAACCTCAAGGAGAGCAAGCTTATTAATTTTCTTACCTGCTCAGGTCACCGTGCCCATTAAACTATGACTACGCAGTATCTGTTAAATCTTTCTCCCTTCGCTTGGACATTTTTCACAAAAACACCGTCATAATTATTACTTGTATTTTGCAGATAATGTTTGACTCCACTGCAATGGCTTTATATTTTAATTTCAGTTTAAGGTGTTTCGCCGGCTCTCCTCGCTTTGTATGGAGAACAACAAAGGTTCGTCAAACCGGAGCTCCCACCTGTCAAAGACACTGACATCATCAATAGTCAAGTCCGCCATTTTGACTGTGATGACTTCCGGCCAGTGGTTTCAAAATAATTGTAATACTCACTATTTTATCCTTTAAACTCAAAACAGTGGTGCTCCACTATAGTCATTTTTAAACTAATGAAAACAGTATTAGAGCCGTAGCTTCAATATTGTTCCAGCATAATTTCACCTATGGTAAGCTTTTATTTGGTGTATGTCCACTTTTCAGTGCTAAATCCTGCGTAATTGACGCAGCAGAGCAACTCCGCTTGAATGTCTCCATTGTGTGAAGAGGAAACCTACCATTAATTACAGTAAAAAAAACATCTTTGTAATCATTTTAAAGAGAACGTGCCACAGTAAAACAGAGCTTGCAGACACTGATATGAGTCTCCATGACATTATTACCCTGCAAAGTACAACAGGCACCTTTGCGCAGCACAAATACAACAGATGTGGCTCCCCTGCTGCCATGTTATGGCCTTATTATAGGACCAGCCTTGTTATAATGAATCTAAACGCTCGACCAATAGCGCCGTGATTATTACATTTATGACTCCCATGGACAAATTTACACCCCAATGAATGGCCCTTATAATCGCCACTATAAAATAATGTTCAGTTTTAAAGGGATAGTACACAAATATCACATTATACCACAAGATTTTAAGGGAAAAAGTGAACTCACCATTTATTGCTGTGGACACACACCACACCTTAACATCATGAAAACCTTTTAAACTCACATCTGACATATTTTGAACTGTTGGAAAGTTAAACACTCCAAAAAGAAACAACTTTAAAAAGCATTGTGAAGTTTTAAAACGTCTGTGAGTGAGAGTATTCCATAAAAGCCACAGTCCTTCCTGGATTTTAGTTTCACAGTAGCACCATCTTCCCACAGTCAGTACAAACAAAAAAAATGCAGCTAATTTTATTCAAACCGGGTGGATGAGATTTCAAAACACAGAACAATAGGAGTGTTCTTGGAGAGCATCCAAAAGTGATTCTTACCTCACTCATCTTGTGCTTCAACATAGTCAGCACAATAAAGTTGTCAGCTGCAGTGATAGACTTCCATCTAACGTTGACACAGTTGATGTAAACTGTACCAAAAGCTGTTAAGTATTGGCAGGTCTGTGTTAACAATATTCCATTATTGTTGTCCAAAGTTACATTAATAACACATGAGCACTCCTGTAATTTCATCACATCCATTTACATACAAATGTGACATTTGCAGTTCAGACAATGATGAGAATACAGACATTTTTATTAATGCGCCAGTTAAGCGATGGCATTCATAAATACACTGCATTTCAAGGAAAGGAAAGTTTTTATCATGAAGCAGATGTTTGCTTAAAAGGAAGTTTCTCTAGGTCATGAGAAACTTCCACCAAGAAAAACAAAATGATCTACAGAACCTGAAATCTCCTTCCAGGCATAGAGAGGGTCTTAAAAATATTGCCTGAAAGTCAAAGAGCAGTGCAAGGAAATAAAGAGGCTATAAAAATTCAGATGGAAACTGAATTATGGTTCAGTAGTCAGACTCATCTGAAATGTCTCCCTGCTGCATCCAATGCTTCTCCTTCTCCTTCTTCTTCCTCTTCCGTTTCCTCTCACCCATCAGAATGGCAGCCATCACGGTGATCATCACGGTGATGGTGATGATAAGCACGGTGACCGTCTCAGCGATGCACAGCTGGTTGTCCACCTCTATCAGCTGGAAGTCATGGAGGGCGGGTGGCGCCTTGCAGGTCAGGTTGTAATAGTCATCCAGGAAGATCCTCTGGATGCTCTGCAGCTTCCGGAAAACTCTCTGCAGCTCACAGTCGCAGATCCAGGGGTTCCCCTCCAGCAGGATGTGGGTGCCGTAGGAGTGGATGCTCAGGAAAGTCTTGTAGTGGAGAGTGGACAGCTGGTTGTTGGCCAGGTTGAGTAATGTCATGCTGGTGAGTGGCTTGAAGATGCCCAGCTCCATCTCGCTTATCCGATTTCCAGCCAGGTTGAGGATCTCCAGGGAACGCAACATGGAGAATATTCCATTCCTCAGAGACGTCAGCTGGTTGTCTTCCAGGTGGAGCTGCCGCAGGGTGCTCATGGAGTAGAAGGGCCTCACCTGGATGGTGTGGATGGCATTGCCGGTCAGGTTTAACCTCTGGAGACCATCCAGGTGTGTGAAGCTCTGGCCATCCAGGCTTGTCAGGCGGTTGTGAGCGAGCTGCAGCTCCCGCAGGAGAGCCAGGCCGATGGAGAAGCCTCCAGTCAGGGTGGAGAGCTGGTTCCAGCTCAGGTCCAGCTTCTGCAGGAACTCCAGCTCAGCGAAGGCGCCATCCTCCACCACACTGATGTTGTTTCTCTGCAGCAGCAGGACTCGCAGTTTGCGTTTTTTACTGAAGGAGTGATTGGGGATGACGGAGATGCGGTTGTTGGACAGGTCGAGGAGTTCGGTGCTGGGGGGGACTCTACTGGGCAGCTGGAGGAAGAGTGCCTGAGAGCAGATGGTGTATCTCAGCTCTCCTCGACATTCGCAGCCCACTTCACACCAGTTGCTGCGGGACCTGGAGGCAGCGTCTGTCAGCACAAAGAGGAGGAACAGGAACCCCTTCATGACTCCACAGCTTTCTGGAAACAGCTGGAGAGGAGGTGTGATCTCGCAGATGTTCAACATTTTCACTGGAACCATAGTTTTATTGCTGAATTACACCTCTTACTTCTGCCAAACAGATGCCTGTCTTGACTATTTTGCTAACTGATAAAACAGATCAAGATGTTGATCAATAGAAAAGACTCAAAACAAACAACAAAAGCAGATTTGCCGCTTTTGCCTCAGGCAGGAAGTAGGAAACAAAATGTTTTCAAGACCAAACATTCAACTTGTCTTCTGAATCTAGTGATAAAGCCTTTTCTAAGGCACCAAAAAGCATTCTGAAAAACTACAAAATTAACAACATAGTAACCAGAGTATTGTTATTGTAGCGAATGAAGATAAACTGAAGTTAGGCCTGCATTTCTAGAGCACAACAGCAGCTAAAAAGTCAAAGATATAAACTGTTAAGACTAACCAGCATGTCCTCTCCTGTTGCAGGTTTTGTCTTACCTACAGCTGCTCCTGCGTCTGTTTACCTGTCATCAGTATCCAGCTGGCAGCAGGTGGAACCTGACCACGATAGAGGTGAGGGAGGGCACGTTGTCACAGCCTGATGAGCGACACCACAAAGACCGAGTGATGGAAAGAGACACAGACAGGAGGGGAAGAAGAGCTGGTCAATTATTTACCATGCAGTGCTATGGGAGGGTGTTAGGAGGGGGGGTTAAGAGATTCAAATGAAAGTGGACTGCAGAGCTGAGAATTAGGAGGTCTGGACAGATTTGGCTGCAGACAGAGGGCATTTATCTCCAGGTTGTTCCCGGGTTTATGTAATCACAACAACAAACCCCACAAGTCAATAAACTGTTTTTCAGTGAGACATGCAAGAGAGATTTTTCAAAGTATAGGAAGAATTACTCCCCATTAGAACAGTTTAAGATGTTTAACATCTGCCATGAATCTTCTAATCAAGGTTTTGATCTAAACACCTAGAAAAGTTACTAACTGTCACCCCTGTTTTTACTGTGACTAATACTTTCATGCATGAAACATCCATGTGCTTGGTGTTTAAATATTTGATTAGCAACAGTTCTGATAAATTGAAGCTTGCTTTACAGCTTTGTTCTCTTCATGCACCACCACCACACAAGGGCAGCAGAGCACCTACAATCTGCATATCATTTAAATGGTTTATCATATCTCACAGCAAGGCCAAATTAAAGTGGTCAGGGCTGGACCTTTGTAATTTTTTTATTTTACGTTAAGGGCCAGAACTCTACAAAGGAAAGTTAGTTACAGGTGTCACAGCTTTTTCTTTGAAAACGTATAAAAACAGAAATCTGAGGAAGAAAACCGCATTCCTTTGTGATGCTGCAGCTCTGTCACAGCTGCAGCAGATGTGGCTCTGTTGAGTCTCATCTGTAGGATGAAGTGGGATGTATTGGATAGACGAGCAGACCTGTTTGTCACAGAGAGAAAGATTACATTAATACCGTCCAAATCCCCAGCTCAGATAAAACACTCTCCTGTCCTGCAGCTCTTTAGCCCAGAGGTTGTTTGGCCGAGTCAAAGTTTTCAGGATTTTCTCCAGGCCTTAAAATGTTTGACTTTCGGTTGCTGTTGTTTCCCTGTTCAGCTCGGCCATGGGAGCTTTCACATCTTGTTCTCAGGCTCATTCTTCCTGTTTTTAATTCAAACAAAAACTAATCACATCACAACTTGTTTTCTATTTTTAGTAAAATGGAGATTATGATTTTAGCTACTTGCTTTCCTCCACAAAAGCAGTATTTCTTATCTGCTTCAACAAACAGTGGAGATACAAAGTGTGCAGACAGTGTCAGTGATGGTCCAGTAGGTTTCCCCTCAGATATAAGGTCTCTGCAGGGATCCTGTTTCATGGCAGCCTTTGACTAGATAATTGTGCTGCAAAATAGCAGCAGCTGGAAAGCTTGTCCTTCAGCTGAAGTGCATTGAATTGCATTTCAGACCAAACATATTGAGGCAGAAGCTACACAAAACACCCAGATACAAGCAGAGAAATGTAGTATATGCAGTCCAATGCAAAGAGGCATGCCGGGACTATTGGAGAAACAAAACACAGGAGAGCCAGCTCCTCGGGACAAGACTCAGCGGTCTGCCTCCATATGAAAAACAAGGGACTCTCCTCTTGAAGACAATGTACATTACTCATCCTGGCCAGAGAGGAGTGAAAGACACCATCTAAGTCAAACTGGAATGGCAGGAGGTGGTCTGGGACACCTTGATTCACGTGACCCTATGGCCAGCTGGGGCAGCAACCCTCATGTGCCCTCAGGGTGTTAACACCTCCACAGAAGAGAAATACCTGGGTCTCCGCACCAGACAGAACTGAACTCAACAAGAACAACAGATCCACAGAGACTCAGCTGATTCTCATGTCTGACAAAGAAAAGCATCAGCTCCTCACATTAAAGAAGGTGGAACCAGAACATGTTGGTGACTGTGCCGGCTGATTTTCTACCAGTGAACTGACTCATGGCTGCAGCTCTAGGTCACTGAATGACTTCATGAGGACGACACAGTGGACACAGTGAGGGGATCTGGTTTGGATGTTTCCTTCTTTCGACAGTGAGAAATATGATAGTTTGTCCTCTCAGCTGTCACCCAGCTGTAGCCTTGCTATGGTAGTACCTATATACAGTATTTACAGTACACAGATACAGTCTCTGGTAGATAATGTGTTGGTGATCCCGTCAGACTATCAGAGAGGAGGGGGAATACAGTGAGAGGGAAACTCTGACAATGAAGGACATGAAAGCAGCTCCAGTCTCAGAAGATGCTAATCGCTAAACCCTGTGCTCTGCTGGCGTTAAAGTCAATTTCACTAGTTAATTTAGGGTTTGTATTCATTCCTTTATATTTCAATTTCTATTTTTACATTTGCCATTTTTTAGACAGAATTACTGTGCCTCAGATCATCAATACACCACATTATATGAACAAATTTGGTCGTCATATTCAACTCATGTTGAGTGCATTCAACCTCCAAATGAATAAAAATCAAAAAGTGCATGTCCCTTCTAAACAAAGTGCTACGAGCAGTATAACACAACCTAAAAATTTTAACTTAAATATTAAAATACATGGAAAAATTACAATATTTACATGTTTCTGTTAGTTCTAAAAAACCACGATGTTTGTTAAGATGGTTATTTCATTCAAATATGTTTTCTTACATACTTAAATTAATTGGTCTTTAAGCTCAAATACATAAAAACTAAAAACAAATGTATCCAGGGGATCACACAGCACAGAATAAAGACAATGCCTAAAAAGATTAGTGGACTTTGGACTGAACGACTACAGACCTGTCACCCTGACATCTGTAGTTATGAAGTCCTTTGAAAGACTGGTGTCGGCCCACCTGATGGACACCGTAGACCCCCTGCTGGACCCCCTGCAGTTTGCCTACCAGGCAAACAGGTCAGTGGACGATGCAGTGAACATGGCACTGCACATGCAACACCTCAACTCCCCAGGGACCTATGTACAGGCCCTTTTTGTGGACTTCAGCTCAGCGTTCAACACCATCATCCTGGACATCCTCCATTCCAAACTGACCCAGCTCACTGTGCCTGCCCCCACCTGTCAGTGGATCACTAGCTTTCTGACAGACAGGAAGCAGCAGGTGATGCTGGGGAAAACCACATCCAGCACTCGGACAATAAGCATAGGTGCACCCAAGGGATGTGTGCTCTCCCCTCTGCTGTTTTCTCTCTATACCAACGACTGCATCTTGAAGGACCCCTCTGTCAAGCTCCTAAAGTTTCCTGATGATACTGAGACCATGACGAGTCAGCCTACAGACGGGAGGTTGAGCAGCTGGTCCTGTGGTGTAGCCGCAACAACCTGGAGCTGAACACGCTCAAAACAGTGAAGATGACAGTGGACTTCAGGAAGAGCCCCCCCACCTTACCCCCACTCACCATACTTGGCAGCACTGTATCAGCAGTAAAGTCCTTCAAGTTCCTGGGCTCCACTAT